CAGCAGTGGAGGCATTTGGGGGCGTCCAGACCTGCAATGGAGGACATTTAGGGGTGACCAGGCTGGCAGGGGAGGACAGTTAGGGGTGACCAGGCCGGCAAGGGAGGGCATTTAGGGGCAATCGGGCCGGCAGGGGAGCATTTAGGCATCAATCAGGCTGGCAGAGGAGCGGTTAGGGGGTGATCAGGCTGGCAGGCATAAGCAGTTAGGGGCATCAGGCAGGCAGGCAGGCAGGCAGGCGAGCGGTTGGGGGCTAGCAGTCCTGGATTGTGAGAGGAATGTCCGACTGCCTGTATAGGCCCGATCCACCTATACAGGCATTCGGACATCCCTTGAGGGGTCCCAGATTGGAGAGGGTGCAGGCTTGGCTGAGGGACACACCCCCGTCGCCCCCCCCCACCCCCCCCCGTGCACGAATTTCATGCACCGGGCCTCTAGTTATTAATAAACGTACATGGAACTATACTCCCAAATCTCAATGGGCATAATTGCGTCTGACCATTTCAGAAATATGAAACATGGCTTAGGAGTTAAGGTACAGTGGTTTTAAATTCTACTTCAATTATGGAACCTTGGGCCTTAACCTATCTGAGTGCTAGTTTCCTCAACTGTAATATGATAATTATAGTATTCAATTAATAATGTTACTGTGGTGATTCAAAAAGTCTTATTGCCATGCCCATAACAAAAGTACTCAAGAGTAACAAGGAGTGGTAGGTGAGGGTTAAACGTCTTAGAAATAGAAGGCAGTAAAGAATAGCTTGCCCAGCCAGCGTGGCTCAGTGGTTGAGCATTGACCTATGAACCAGGAGGTCACGGTTCGATTCCTGGTCAGGGCATATGCCCATGTTGTGGGCTCGATCCCTAGTGTGGAGCATGCAGAAGGCAGCTAATCAATGATACTCTCTCATCATTGATGTTTCTATCTCCCTCTCCCTCTCCCTTCTTCTTTGAAATCAATAGAGATATATTAGAAAAAAAAAAGAATAGTTTACTTTAGAGTGGGAGATAGGTTTTAAAGATAGCATATAAGGAAAAAGAGGTAAGTCTGACCTCTGTGGTGTCCATTTCCCTATGGCAGTGGTCGGCAAACTCATTAGTCAACAGAGCCAAATATCAACAGTACAACGATTGAAATTTCTTTTGCGAGCCCAATTTTTAAACTTAAACTATATAGGTAGGTACATTGTTATTAACTTAATTAGGGTACTCCTAAGCTGGCCTTTGCTAAAAACGTCCTCAATCTGATTGAGGTACGTTCGCTGAGGTCGACCCCTTCCAATTCTCCCATCCACATTCGTCTTGTATACTTGTTTCGTCTATCTCCTTTCCGAAAACCGACTTCTGCGCATGGGCCATGAAGTTTCAATTGCACTATATGTGCGTGCCTACACGTGGTATTTTGTGGAAGAGCCACACTCAAGGGGCCAAAGAGCCGCATGTGGCTCATGAGCCGCGGTTTGCCGACCACTGCCCTATGGGAGTTAACCAAAAATCGGAATATTGATATTAACAAGATTTAATTTGAAAAGTTCAAATGAATTAACTTATACCTCAATAAGTTTAATAACAGAAATCACTTAATATTGATTAGAACCTAATTTAATGACCTTTCCCCATTCCATGTGAGCCTGTCAGACTTGCACTTTCAGTTCCTTCTTTATTCTGTACTGAAGCCCTTGAGTACTGATCAATCAGTGAGACTTCATTATCAATACTTGAAAATAACTAAAAAATACACAGCAATAGTGGATCTTTACCATATGAAAGAATAGGATATAACTATGGATATATATATATATATATATACATATATATATATGGAACAATAAAAAATAAAATATTAACTTACAAGTTCTGTTAAATGTCTGAGATGTCCAATTTCTTCTGGAAGTGAGACCAATTTGTTATTACTAGCAATTAAGACTTTCAATGGTAAATTACACAAATGTACTGGCAGTGTTGACAGTTGGTTCCGACTAAAATGGGTAAGTAGAAAAAAAGAAGATTCAGAGCCCATTACTCAAGAAAAAAATTTCCATCTTTCCCACTCTATACACAGTAGAATAACAAATATAAGTCTTGCAAGGAACAAATAGAATTTAAGATTTGAGTCCTAGCCTACATTTCATCACTTGTGAGCTTTGTAATTTTTAGGCATAGCATTTAACCTATAGAATCTTATATAGATTCATTGTAAATTGAGAATCTTAACTTCTCTACCTTGTACCATAAAACACCTTTGTAAATAATAAAGTGCTATATAAGTACAACATATTATTTTATTGAAGTTAATTTATATTAAGAAAAAAATGATTTAAAAATAGGGTATATTTCCCTCATAATCATTACAGTATATACGAAGAGGCAAAAATGAGTTTTAGAAATATGTAAACTGTATAATAAAATGATTACATATAAAAATATTTCAAAGGATATTTCATTTGCTCATTTTCTCCAATAAAACTTATAATAATAAAATAACAAAAGAATTCTATAAGATGTGAAAAAAATGGAGTACATGAGTTGAAATGCAATTATACATTCAGAACTGAATACATAAAAATACATAATCACAAGAACCAAACGAAGTATTTGGAGAACCACTGCAAGCCTATTAGGCTAATGACTATTAGAATTTGTCAATTATTGCAAAGACAGAGGGAGAAACTAGAGGGACATAGGAAATACTGTTAATTTAGCCTAAGAACATGTATAGAAACTGCTGATATGAAAAGATAATGTAAACTTTAGTAAAAAGGAGCAGAAAATTGAAAATGTCACATAAAATCAAATATTTAAAAAAAAAGAAAAAAGAAACAACATCTTACCTAATATTTAAGAATGTTAGAGCTTGTAGGTTTAGAATTGCCTCTGGTATATAACGAATACAATTTTGGTATAAGTTGAGATTCTCAAGAGAAACAAAATGACATGTTTCTATGGGAATTTCTGAGAGGCGATTTCGTGACAGATCTGAAAGAAAAAAATCAAGTTTAAAAATCAATCCTTGGAACTTATTTTATTGAAATGTTAAATAGGCATTTTTGTGAATGTTTGAATTACCAAGAGTTCCTACTGTGGAGATTGATCCAAAATAAACATTCAAATTTTTATTAATTGAATAACCATTTTAATTTATGTTTCTACACCTGTTGCTGGGAAATGCTAATTCTTCTTGAGACTCCACATATACTAAAAAATAAAACCAGTATTCTTTGCAAGTAACACAAAGTCTAAGGCATATCTGCCAACAAATTATATAAAAGATCATACTAACTACCCAATATCCAAGGAAACAAATGGATCCCTAAAATCCACCTTTGCAAAAGAAAAGACAACATTCTGAGGTTTTTAGAAAAGCAAAGCAAAACAAAACCAAGCAAAAAATACTGTTTCTTTACCAGTCAAAGATATACAGGGTCATGTCAAAGCACTCAGGGACCATCTTTGCTCCCACTTGCCAAACAATTTGAGCTTCAATAAAGATAATAATTCTAACAGATTGAAAGCTAGCCTACATATTGAATTATACAAGCTGATAATGAGATATTCTCCTCCACCTCCAAAAGGTAATAGAGAACCAATTCATTACCTTGCATACTGACAAAGAGGAAAATCAAACATTTACCTTGCCTTTTCTATATGAACTGAGTAACCAAATGTTTCATTTATGTGTTTTAGTTATAAATGAAAAATGATAGAATATCACCAATTTTCCAACGCTCAATAAATTCTGATTTAGAATTGAGTATTAATGGCTGTTGTCTTTATAGACAATCAGAAATTATATGCCTCCCACTAAAAGAACAGAATATCACTTTTAGTCTTGACACAGAGACAAGAACCAAATCTAATCAAGCTTCTGGATCAGCTGCAAATTTTCAGGAAATGCAGAGGACAAAGGAATGTGCAGAAATACAGTCATTCTACCACTACCCATTTAGATTTAATAAAATTGATCGTGAGATTAATTTGCGCACCACTGTTTTTTCTTCTGCCTCATCTTAAAGTCTCTGTTAGGATTATTTGGTAAGAACCTTTTATTGAGAACTGTCCTCTATCTAACAGAGGACTAAATTCCTACATATCTGCAAATATCTTGCTTTCACCATAACAAATGAATTATATTTTGTCTAGGAATAGGTATTCTTAGAATCTGTAGATGTTATTTTACTACCTTCTAGTTTCCAGTGTCACACTGAGTAGTCGAGCACATATCTGATCATTTTGCCTGTGCAAGCGGCTTGTTGTTGTTGTTTTTTTGTCTCTGAACCACCCCTAACCTTCTCGTCTGGAACTCAGTAGGTTCTTTCAATCCTTCTTTAAACCAGGGATATTCTCCTCAATTATATCTTTAGTTATTGCATCTCCCCAATGTGCTCTTTCTCCTTTATATTTTTTTTTGTTTTGATATACTCTAATTAATGTCCCAGACCATGAATTTGAGTATCAACAATAATCATCCTCCCCACAAATTAATATATAGAAGAGTTTTCCCCTCACTTTTTAATTCTTTTATGCTATGATTAGAAACATATAGCTTTGTCTCTCTTGAGAATCTCAGGATAATTTGTTTTGCTTGTTAAAGTTGTCATCTATCTCTTCCAATAGTTCTATTTCACTGAAGTCACTTGTTCTAGATATAATCTTTGTTAATCCTCTCTCTGGCTGCTGGAGTTCCTTTAAGTGAATTATTTTACTTTGCCAATTCATACCTTGCCTCATACTTGAAGCTCAAGCTGCTAGAATTAACACCAAAACAATGGAAGCAACTTCTACAAGGTCTGGAACCCCTCCCCCGCTCCACCACCACCATTTCCCCAGATACAACTCTTTCTAAGGACTCAAGTTTTGATTATTGCCCCATTAGTTTTACCTCCTGTTTCCATCTGGATCCCAGACTCACATACCCTCTAACAGGTCCCACTAGCCTGTGAGCCCCAGAGCTGGCTTTACTCTGAAGTGATAGTTACTAAATGAAGTTGGGAAACAGTCTTGTTAGGTATATAAAACAATGACATTGAACTTTTTTTCCATTCAGAAGTATAAAATATTTTTTTTTAAATATATTTTTATTGATTTTTTACTGAGAGGAAGGGAGAGAGATAGAGAGCCAGAAACATCGAGAGAGAAACACTGATCAGCTGCCTCCTGCACGCCCCCCACTGGGGATGTGCCCACAACTAAGGTACATGTCCTTGACCGGAATCGAACCCGGGACCCTTGAGTCCGCAGGCCGATGCTCTATCCACTGAGCCAAACCGGTTCTGGCTAAAATGTTTTTTTTTAAATAAATCTTTATTGTTCAGATTATTACAGTTGTTCCCCCTTTTTCCCCCCATAGCTCCCTCCACCCAGTTCCCACCCCACCCTCTGCCCTTACCCCCGCACTGTCCTCATCCATAGGTGTACACTTTTTATTGCCGGGTCAAAGGTCATACACATGGAAAATGTAGCTATTTCCATCCGCGACATGTCCCTGTGCTCGGAAAGGTCTCTCACGACTTGTTCACACTCTACTCAGAAAGGGTACGGAGACACATAACGGCTTTTTAAAATAATGTGTCCTCTTATGTTTAAAATGAGGATTTCGCTACCAAAACTGAGGAGAAAGCAACACTACAGCTGGTCTCACCCCTCTCGCCCTTCGGGTGATAGTTGTGTGTGGGGCTGCGAGCTGGTTCGTGGGCCGTCGACGAAGCCGTCTGGGTGGCTCGCGCGGTTCTGCCGGCTTCCCAGGGGCCGTCGCAGCCTCACGAAGCCTCGCAGGGGGCGTCGCAGCCTCACGCAGCCTCACAGGGGGCGTTGCAACCTCACGCAGCCTCACAGGGGGCGTTGCAACCTCACGCAGCCTTTGCAGGGGCCGTTGCAGCCTCACAGGGACCGTCACAGCCTCACGCAGCCTCACAGGGGCCATTGCAGCCTCACAGGGACCGTCACAGCCTCACAGGGACTGTCGCAGCCTCACAGGGACCGTCACAGCCTCACAGGGACCGTCGCAGCCTCACAGGGACCGTCGCAGCCTCACGCAGCCTCACAGGGGGCGTCGCAGCCTCACGCAGCCTCACAGGGGGCGTCGCAGCCTCGCGGGGCCATCGCAGCTTCACGCAGCCTCACAGGGCGCACCTCATCCCACGTTGGGGGTGAAGGTGCGAGACAGAAGCTCCTCTCGCTGTCTCTCCTGCTGCTCCCTTGCGTATCGCCGATGCTGGAAGTTTCTGAGAGCAGTCTGCAGGTGCTGGACATCATACTTTAACTGCTCAACACGAAGTTTGGCATTCTGTCTTTTGTTGGGCGGCTCCTTGCTGGACAAAATCTCCAGGCGTTCTTATTGGCTGAATATCTGGTATGCTTGCTTGGATTTTGTTTTGTACTAAGTGCACAGACTGCTTGTCTGCTGTCTCCCGGCGTCCCATGTAAGACTGGATCTGGTGGACCTGCTTGTGCGTTTGCTGGTACAGCAGTTCCACGTCGCCGGCCCAGCCGGGTCTGGCTCCGGCTTCCTCCAAACCTGATTCTGCTTCTTAAGTGTGACCCTTATGGATGCGAGGAGTTGAAATTTGCAGTTTGTTGGGTTAGGCTGCACAAGTGCAGGTGATTCCTTTTTGCCACTGGCACAGCTTGGGCAAGGATGTAAATTGAGTAGGGCGGGGTCTCCGGGAATCACCAGGCAAAGAGCAATGGCGTCTCCTAGACTCCTCGCCTCTCCGCGACTCCGTGTCTCCGAGTCCCCGAGGGCCGGCAAGCAGCCCCGGGAGAAAGCCACCCTTGCTCTCCAACCCGCTGCAAGGCAGTCCCGCCTCTCCCGTAGGGGTCTGGGACCTCAGAATCCCGCCCCAAACAAGCTCAGTGGATTTGAGAGTTTGCAACCCCTTCCGATTGAAAAAAACCGCGCATCCAGTTGCAGCCCACCTGGCGTGCGACTCCGTACCTCTGTTCTTGGCGCCTCTGCACATCCTACTCAGTCTCAATGCTCTTCTTTCTTTCCTTCCAGTTGTAGAACTTCCACTGGGCCAGCTTTCCCATGGTTCTGAATGATAGCTGTTTGTCTTATAGTTGGTAGTTTCAATGTTGTTGTGGGAGGCAGCACGCACAGGTCTATACCTTACGCCGCCATCTTGGTTCTCTCCTCTAAAATGTTTTTAATATATGATATTCCCCTTCCTATTTTAGGTTAGCTCCTGTATCTTTTTGATATACCATCTTCATTTTCTTTTTTAGCATTTCCTTATATTCTGGCACAACAAGATGTTTCAGTCTTATCTTGCAACTTCCATGCCCCAGTTTTGGAATCAGCTATTTCTCACCCTCATATAACATAAACTTCTGTGGCAAGTCAGACTTGGTGAATGGTGGTTAGGAGCAAAAGGGAAAGCCACCAATCCTGACGGAAGACTCAGAACAAATGACTGTTGTTTTTTTGTAAACCACTAAGCTTTGTAGTAGTCTGTTACACAGCAATAGAAAAGCAAAACAGAAATTGGTACCTGGAAGTGGAGTGCTGCTTTAACAAAAACCTAAAACATCTGCTATTTTTAAAATGAGGCAGCAGACAATGGCCTTAAAGGAACCTCCCAGACCTGTTAGTGGAGGCTGGAGGGCAGTGAAAAAATTGCTATTAAAGGCTGGAGAAAAGGGCACCTTAGTTCTGTTTTGGCAGATCAATTAAAGGAACTATAGCCTACAGTAAAATGAAAGGGAACCTTTAAATCACCATAAATATATGTGATTATCTGTAGTGAAATATGTTAGTTGAAGTTAAGATATATATGACAACAAATATTAATATTAATTTTAGATCTTAATGATGAAAAGGGGTATGCATATACACATTCCAGCAATATTCCATCTAATTTAATTCCCCCTCACTTATTTTTAGATATCATTCAAATACATTACATATTTTTCCTTTTCAAATAATGCAGAGAAAGGAAATGATGCCAACCAAATTAAAAGACCCTCTTTGCTCACAC